AATGATGGTCCATGTCACCATCTTGTAAAGTTGAAAAAATAGCTTAGAATAAACCCTGATAGCTGGAACTTTATTAACATCATAGACTTGTTAATATAGTCTCTGTTCAGAGCCCGATGTTGCCAGATACTTTGGGACCAATTTGTAAGGATGAGTCATCCAAGGAGTGGCAGGCTAGTACATTTGCAATCTGATGCAATCTCCACTATAGGCAAAATGTGGTGCCCAGTGGAATGGAGCTGATTACTATTTAGGCCAAGGAGTAAGTTTTGATCTATTTTAGTTCTTGCTCTGTTTCTCCCTGTTCCTAACCAGATGGAATCCACTGTTTCTCACCTGTTAAATCCACCCCTAGACAAGAACAGTTTTTAGTAGAGGTGTATGGGCAACCTAAGAGTGTCCCTTGGTCCAAAAAAATTGTATATACCAGGTTCATAGCCAGAACAGATCTCCTACTTATTTAGACCATGGCTGGGGAGAATGTAGTTTTGAGATTACCAACTAGTAAATGTCAGTGGTTTGCTGTAGATATCTGAGTTTATGACTCCCAGTTGTTTAACACAACCAAAACCCCTTCCTAAATTATAGTGTCAAGATGGAAGAAAGCTATGGATGAAAAGCAGGAGCAGTTTTTATAAGTGTCTGTACTGTAAGTTCCGTTCTGGTGCAGGAAACACATTCTGATCTGAATGTGTGTTCAGAGGTGTGGTTGTTCCTCAACTGTAAGGTCAAGATTTCTTTGCATCCTCTCAAACCACTATTTTGTACCTGATTTTGGTTGTTGAAGAAACAAATGAAACTAGATCCTGCAGGTTTGGAGTCTCCCCATCCCTAGCTCAAGCTGGCCTGAATCCTAAGCTTTTGCCTTACCTGGTCTCCCCGCCTTTCCCTCTACTGGGCTAACTGATTTAACATTCCATAATTCTAGTTCTGTGGCAATGTAGCTCTTGAGCCCCCTCATTTTAAACTAGTTAGAGTTTCTTATTTTAAGGAGCCTTTCTACAACCCCCTTCTTCCTCATTTACAGGGTTTTGCTCCTGTGCTTTAGCACCTAATAAATAAGCGGGCTCATAAAAGTAATCTTCCTCAGGTTGAGCTTCTCTCCTGGGGGGGACGTTATGCAAATCCATGTCGTTTTCAAAGCAACAGTATGGGAGTGGGTTGGCACTGCCTTTTTACAGAATGGCTTTTTGATTTCTTAGTCTGTCTTACAGCCTTGGTATTCTTAGTTGGTCTCCCACCCAAGTGCTATCTAGCACAATCCTGCTTAGCTTTGTGAATGGATGCAAAAAGCAAAGGTGATTCAGCAGCTATAACAGTCTCTATTATTTAGGATTTAACAAGACACAATGGAAATTGACTGCAAAATGGTTGTTAGCATGCTATAAAATATAGGTAAACATTATTCATAATTCACCTGTCTCTAGAATCCTCACAGATGAGCTACAACTACAACTTACAGCTTACAACTAAACTGTGTTAAATAGCAGGGATTCCCTTTATTGCCAGCTTTATATGACAATCACTGGATCAATTTTGAAGTGAGAAAGTGTCAGTGGGGTTGCCAAACAAAGATCTCTGTGTTTCATGTATAGATATATATGAGATGGCTTTGTGTGTATATACACACAGAGATGATATCCATAATATTTTTACAAGAAATTCTTATCCAAGATGATGGAATTATCTCAATTTCACCACTTTTCCTGATATACCAGAAAGAAATGGGAACAACAATAATTGTATAAAGCTAGATTTTAACAATATCAGTATTTAGATATATTAGAGAGAGACAGTTTGGAGTAGTAGTTAAGGCACCAGGCTAGAAACCAAGAACCTGTGAGTTCTAGCCCTGCTTTAGACACAAAGACAGCTGGGAGACCTTGGGCCAGTCACTTTGTCTGAGCCCTAGGAAGTAGGCAATGGGAAACTACTTCCAAAATCTCTCCAAGAAAATTGCAGGGACTTGTCCAGACAGTTGCCAGGAGTCAACACTGAAGGCATAAAAGAAAAAGATATATTAGTGCCCAGCTACTTTTAGATCCTGAATTAGTATATAGAAGTATATTGATTGAAAGAAAGTTGTCATTAGTTTGCTAACACCAGCCTGCTTCTTCCACATGTCGTAGGTCTGCAGCTCCCGGAATCCCCAGTTAGACTGTAAAAGCAAGCGTTATATATGAACTTTCAGCATAAGTTTGTATTCTTCACAAATGTTTTGCCACATATACCCCTTTCTATATATCCGGAAGATTTCACACTGTCTTGTTTTGAATCTGCTGGAATTGGAAGAATCTGCACAGATGCTCCTGTAGGCCTTCCAAAACAAAGAAGAGAAATAGCGCAAAATCGCTGCTCATGCTTGGCCATGACCTGCTGATCACTCCAAAATATTTCTCTCATCTACCCCTGTAAAGGGTCTGTAGGAGAGAAACTGGTTAAACCAGGAAACTTTCACTTCCATGGCTTAATTCATGGGTAGGCAAAGTTTTTGCCTGGAGAACTGCAATGACAGATGGTAGCATTCCTAGAGGGAATCCAGCCTCAATTTTCAAGATTGAGAGAGCGATAGGAATTGGGATTGCTTAAAAAGAAAAAGAAAACTAAAACAAGCTCATTGGAGGCTTAACACCTCTATTTTCATGTTTGTTTGCCCCAAAGGGGAAAGGGGAGAATGGGGAGAGCAGAAAAATCATGCCTGGTGAGTTTAAAGGACTACAGAAAAGCAGCTAAACCAGCTCTAAGTATATGAAGCAAAGGCCAGCAGCTACCTACCCCTCCATCGTATGCTATGTTTATAATGCTAGATCAGGGCTAATATCCTGTTTTTGTTGCTGAAGAGTGCTTGGATGAGAAGATAACCCCACACTTTCTACATCCAGTATCCAGCTCTGCAACTGTCTCTTATCTTTGCACTTATTATAACATCAATGTATTTCATTCTGGAGTTTCCACTAGAATGCTAATATGAGATCCATTAATACAATTTCCATAAGCAAGCAGAAGCTAGCATAGTAGAGAAAAAGAGAACCGTTTGTTCTGAAACTCTTGGAAGGACTTCAGCTGCCTTGAGATGAAAATACAAGTAAAACCACAAACCGCAGAAATAGACGTTTTGCCTCTGGCTTCCTTTTCCTTTACTCTGCAGATTTAATTATACAGCATTTGACTGCCTTCAGAGATGTAACTTATTCTCCCCACCCCCCCCATCCTCCACCTTGGAAAAAAATCCTTTTCCGGTGCAGTGATTCACAACTGGCGTGATACACCAAAAACTGGTCAGTCTCAAGTTATGCAGAAATTGCTGAGAAGCCTTTGCCTTTCTACCAAACTCTTCTGTTATACTCCATCTGAAGCCAGTTGTTTTGTCACCAAGCCACAACCGCATAAGGGATTAGATTAGATCTGAAAGTTGGCCACTTGCCTAAAGAATTCAGGGACCCTCAACCTAATGAACTTCACCCACCTTGCCTTTTGGCAGTGTTGGGCCATATCTGAGCTCTCATCAGATGACTTTATATTGGAGCAAGTAAAAGAAAAAAAATTAGCTGTAGAAACCAATAGAGATGACCTACCAAATTGACAAAGCCAACACAATGGTTCTACTCTCTGCTGGGTACTATGGCTTGTTCCAATAGAAGAGAATATCTGTAGCTCAGGGTTGAACTGTGGAGTTCTTGTTGCTCTCTGAGCTTGGTTCTTTGCTGCAGACTTTTCACTACCCAACTAGGTAACACCATCAGTATGAGTGAGTGTGGGGTTTATTGCTTGTTTTTAGCTTGTTTTTTTATGCTACGTAATATAGCTTGATTTTTTGCTACATAATGTTCTACTGTATCTCTTTCAATGGGAACATCCATTACATGGCTCCCCGTCTGTCCTGGTCTTCCTACAGCATATTTTCTTACAATTCTTGATGAAAAGTTTCAATGCTTATTTTGTCACTGTGATGCTTAGTAGATCCTGAGGTCACTGCATGGAACTTGCAAAGATGGGAGCAATGCTATAAAGTACTGGCCACTAATGTCATGGAGAAAAGGAAATAGAGGCCTAAATAAAGAAGCCTAGATATAGTACCTAACTTTAACCTGATGTCCTCCAAAAATAATGAGTTTGAAACTCCCAGAATTCCCAGCTAGCATGTTGCAGTACTACACTCTCACCCTGCAAACCTCCTTTTGGTCCTTCCCAATGTTGGATTTTCTAATGTCACAAAAATGTGGTTTTGAAACCTTGCAGAAGAATTCTTCAACATCAGATTCCCCACTCTCCAGCCTCAAAGGGGAAATCCAAAATATCTTATGATCCCTGGAAAACCCTCCCAAAGATCATAAGATTTCAGTTTCAGTCATACTAACTGCTGATGGTTATGTCCTCTTTTCTTGGGAAACATGGCCTGAAGGATCCACAAAATAATATGCTAAAATAGAATAATTCCAATTAAAGAAAAGCATACCACCATCCTTCCTGAGATCAAAATCAACTATATTTCTGCTTAACGCTGGAGATATGACAGATCAGTAAAGCATTAGGATAAAAGATTCTGTCAGACAACAGAACACTCTTATAATGAATGTGTTTTAATGTCCATCACTGTTGTTGAACAAGAGTATCCTGAGTTAGATATTAGAATATCCTGAGTTAGATATAAGAATCATGCCTTAACAATAGGTTAATTCAACAATTCTGGTTTAGGCTTCCCCCACTTCTTTTTTTAATAAGACTGTTTATTCAAATATCTCTGAATCTTTTGGCTCTGATCTACATAGGCTTTTTCAATAAAGAGGCCTAGAAGTGCCTGCCAACTACTCTATTTAGATTGGGGGGAGGGTGGGATCTTGGACAATAAAACCCACTCATTGTAAAAGTATTTTCCATTGGCCTCAATGCATAATGAAAAAAAAAAAAAACTATGCCACATCCCCCACAAACAACTGCTTTGATAATCCTTCCAGCCATCATTCACTGCTGCTTTTCTATTGGCTGGTGGAGCTTGTAATTCCTCAGTTGCAGAGTATTTAAAAGCAAGGGAGTGGCATCTTAGTTCCCGTCATCTCTGTGCAGGATCTTCTCTGTGAGCTGCAGGAACAAGGGACAGAGCCATGCCTGTGAGTTTATGGGGCAGTGATGTAGCTACTGATGCTTAAGGATGCTGGCTGTCACTGGAGCCAGACATTCAAATCAGATTAGGGTACCTTGCCTTCCTAGCTGTTGGAAACTACCATCTAAGAGGCAAAGAAGGCTGGATCTTCATGGTAGAGGGGACCTTGATTTTGAGCTGGATGGTTGATTTTTCTTAAAAGCTCTCATTGTAGTTCCACAGTGAAAGGTGACGTTGGCTAAAAAATGTTAAATAGAGTGTCTGGTCTCTTAACAGGCTGCAGTCTAGCACAGGTTCACAGGTTGTGAAGGAGCAAATAGCTATGAGGTTATTGTAATTGTCTCATTTGTTGGGAAAAGTTCATGGAAGTGCATCTGGGAAGGGGAGTTTGGCTTAGATTTGCTTAACAACATTTTCTCCCAATTCTCATCCTACCACCTTTCTCCCAATCATGTAGAGGCTGCAGAAAGCTGTTGAAAAAAGCTACGGACAGAAGCCTTAGTTTCACAGACTCTGTAATCCCATTATTTGCAACTTGTTTGAAGTCCAGCATGATTTTAAATCCACAGATTTGAAGGAACTGAAGACATCCATTGGGGGGCATATCAGGAATGTTCAAAGTGTTGGGGCAACTGGGCGTGGCTCAGGCTGGCATCCACGTGCAGGGGCATTGCCCTATTAGGCCTTTCCCCCAAATTATCTACCATTTTCTTTTTTTATGGGGAACATAACTTTTACAGCAGGAAAAAAAATTAAACGAATGAATCTTTTCCCATTTCTTTAGGTCAGTGGCAAGAAGGAGTACTGCTTGCTTGAGTTCTGTTTTGGGTGCCTTATAAAAAGCATAGACATCAGAAAAAGATACAACTAGGGTTTCTCTTACCTCTTCATAAAATATGCATTTCCAATTTTAATCTCTAAAGCACACCCCAAAGGCTTTTGTATCCATTTCTCTGAATAGCAGACAGGGACTGAGAATGGTTTCCCTGAGCAAAATCGTATCAGGCATTCAGGATCAATACGATAGGAATCTGAACGTAGCCTTCCTTCCATAAAAGAAGGGAATGGAAACTTTGTTGTTCTTGTTGCAATCTTTTACTCCTGAGATTTTTCACATGCTTCTAGTTGTGGATTAGTGTGGAGAAGTTAACTATCAGAGGGTGAGGTATCCTGCCCAGCTGTCTCGCCAATATCCCTTGCATAGACGGGCAGGGGCTGCCCTTCGTTGCAGGAGCCAGCTGTGGGGTTCAAAGCAGTTCTCTGCTACTCTCCCAGCCTTTCCAGCAGTGAAACTCAAGGCTGCTGCAAGAGAAAGGCATTGTTATGACTCAGCCTGGTTCTTGTCTCTCTCCTCTCAGCTCTGTCGTGTTTCACAGGATAGAAAACAGCAGGATGAGGCTGCAGTAATCATGCTCTGAGGGCAAAAAAAAAAAGTCAGCTCAGAGAGAACAGGATAAAAATGTCAGCTGACACTCTTTCTGCAGTTTCATGGTAGCCTCAATGCAGCTGTCTAGAACTGCACAATGACAAATGCTAGAGTGTTTGGTCAAAGTTACAGCCACCCTTATGTTTAACATACATAAAGGAAGGGATGTGATGATTCCTGTTTTACCTGTTAATAGGAGCAAATAATCTAATTATATGATTATCTTTTCATTCCCAGCAGAGCTGCCTACTTAAAAGATAAGATCTTAATACACCAGGCATGGAATAACTGATTTCCTGGATTTTTATGGAAATTACAGCACAGATTATAAATCCTGCCATCTAAAAAGATATATAACAGGGGTAGAAATAACCAGTTATGTTGTCCCTTCTGATTTATGCAGAAACCTCATTCTGTTACAATCTTATTGCTGTTCTGGGCAAATAAAACTGGTACAAAGTTACAGTATTTGGATTAGCAGAGAAGTACAAATGTGAATTTGTATTTGGTTAGCAAGCCACTTTGCTATGTGACAGTATCATAGTTTGGGGAACAGAACAGATATCAAAGTGCATTATGGGGGCAATTCATGAATATACCTTATTTCTGATAATCCAAATAACTTTGTACCAGTTTTATTTGCCCAGAACACCTTTTCCCAGCCCAGTGTTCCTCTATATATATTACAGGTTAGATACCATCATTGTTGGCTGAGGTGATGGTATTGCAATCCATCACTTCTGGAATGGCTCTCTGAATTGGTAACACTGGGTAAAATCTAACTGTATTTTTTAATAATCTGTACATTTGATTTTAAAAAAAACATTCCAAACAGCTCTCCCCATTGAATGCATTCAACATGGCAGCAACTTCAACACAGGGAGTTTTTTGTGCTAAAAAATGAGTTCCCTATAACCTGGCCATATTGGCTGAGGATTATGGGACTTGGAGTGCTACACATTTAGAGGGCTTCAGTTTAGGGAAGGATAGAATCCTTCTTGCCAAATCCCTTGCCATAATAAAATCATTAGATTTTAAAGGGTTTTAACTGCTTACTTTTTAATATATTAATTCAAATATTCATCTGTTTTGAAATTAAAGGACCTCAAGTGCTGCATGACCATATTTCCCTCCCACCCAGTATAATACATTATATATCCTATCAATGCAACAAATTGTTGGATTCAAATAGCCCAACAGCAGTTGTTCATAATGGGTTTAGATTCCAACTTACTTTTTCTACAGAAGGAGCTACATGAGCAATTAAATAAATGCTTTCTGAATTCCTTCTCTAGGGAATTGTTTGTACTAACCTGAATATTGCACCTGGCCAGCGTGTGGCTGTGAAAGGTGATGTTCTACCAGGAGCTAAGAGGTAAGTTGGTCTCACTAGTAAGATGATTTGGAACATGCTTACAGTCATGTATAGTAGAACCTTGTATTGGTTCATACAGCTCTAACCTCCTTTCCCACCAGGTGATAGCCAGATGCACAGTAAAAGTTGATATCCAACACATCTGGAAGACACCAGATGGTTAAAAGCTAAATTAACCATCATGGCTTCCTCCAAAACCCCTGGGAACTGTTGTTAAGTAACATACAGAGATTTCTTTGTACCTATCTGATTGCCAGCCCCATCAGTTAGGCTAGATCAGAAAATCAACTCCACACAAAAACTAGAACTATACTTTATTGAGATAGGATATAATACCAGAATCTTACAAGCCTGACTGTGCTTTACCTGCCTTCCTTCTTGTATCCCAGTGAATCAGGGAGGAGACTGCCTGAGTTACTTCCGAATACTATCTTGCTTCCCAGGACTTAAGTAATGTTTCAGCCCTCTTTGTTTATGTAAAGGTCCTTTCATAATTATATCAAGATCATCTCCCTAACTCTCTACACCGATATACTCTTCTGTGATATATGACCTTAGGTGTATGAGAGTAGGAGGAAGAACTGTGTACAGTTTTCATTAAACAAAGCAGAAGAATCCTGTTGCCTTTCTTCTTCCCCCCTCTTATTCTAAAAAGAGCAGAATACTTGCTAGAAAAGGGTTAATGCCACCTACTGTAACATTTTCCAATGAGTCATATCTGAACATGTTTAATGGCCTCCTCCCCCAGCCCTTCTCTGTGCTCCTCCTGCCAAGAGACTAAATAAAACCAGCTGTTGGGCAACAGCCCCACTGTCTGTCTTCCTTCTGTCTCCTCTTGGAACGTATCTCTCCTCTGTCCACTGCATAGAGTAAACTATGTTTGGTGTTCTTCTAGGAAGAATGAGCAAGATGATTTGAAAACTGCACATATGCTCTTTCTGAGTGTGGTTTCCATTTTGAGTCTCCTCTGTTTTAGACACACACGTTTGTCTACTTGTTGGGTCATACTGTAGGATTCCTCAACCAAGTATCCTCCAGATGTGTTGAATCACAGCCCAAAACCTCAAGCCAGCATATTCAAATACCATTCTGGCTAGGAATCCTGGGAGATGTATAAGGACATCAAGTTGAGAAAAACTATCCTGATGTTTTTTCAAACCCTGGCATTTGGCTATCCTTTTTTGCAGAATAGGATATTTGACTACATGTGCCTCTAAAAAGTCTTAAAATTGTGTGCTATGCTCTTCCAGTTCTCACCAATGACAGGATAGGAACTGGGGACAACTTTCCTTGGAAAAAGCTGCATGATCAGCACTACTTTGTAATTTGTATTCAGTCCTTAATGCTTGGCTTGACATGAAAGCAAAAGTGGGTGATGGGTCTGGAGTGGAGCAGCAGGTCTGGGCAGAATATTTTAGAAACCACCCCAAGGAAAGACATGATAGAACAGTGGAGCATCTTGCCAAAAAACAGTAGCATAGAGACAGCACTACTCCCCCCTAAAATATGCTGAAGAAGTATATATTATAGCAGTAAAATCTAGTCATTGTAGGCCATTTAAGAAAAAAAAGGAATTCACATTGCACAAGGAAAAGTTGCAAGATATAATGAAAATGATGACATTCTGTCTACACAATGGACTTACCCAACCTGGTGACTTCCAGATGTGCTGCTTTTAAGCTCCCATCACTCCTAGGCTTGGTGAGGGGAATTGTAGCACACTTCTAGGAAGCACCAGTCAGTGTGTGTGTGTGTGCTAGATTGTCTGTGGTTGTTACAAAGGGGCCTCTTGAGGGAGTCTGGATTTTGTCACTGGGGACAGACTATTCTGAGGATCAACATGCCCTGACTGCTAATAAAATCATTCCCACTCCTTGGCTCACACACCTCCCACTTGAGCCCCAAAGGCAGGGAAGGTCCCTGAAAGAGACAGATGATACTAATTAAAGCCAAGAAAACTGATCATCTTTGGGAAAGATGCTCAGGCAAGAAAGTTATTGTGTGACTGCTTCAGCTTGCCTTAAGGGCAAGAAGAGGCAGCTGCCAGGCTGTAAATCGGGATGGGAGAAGCTTGGAAATGCTGGCAGACACTTTTCCCCATTACCATGTTGCGGTGCTCCCACCCATCCTGAAATTGGCATAAAACTACCAGCATGGAATTTTCCATCCCCATTGGTGATCCCCATCCCGCCTCTATTTCAGTTCAGTACGGTCACCTGACTTCCCTCCAAAGTAAGGGAGGGCAAGGCCAGTGCAGCTGCAGCTATGCAAAAAACAGTACAGACAAGCATGCCTTAAGCCTGGCCCACTCACGGACTGGGGAAAAGTTCATGGGGATGTCATGGGGACAAGGCAGGGAAAAGATGCGACCAGCTGTGCTTGTGTCGTAGTTAGGTACAAGTGGGGACAGATCCCAAGAAAGAACGGAACAATTCTTCCCAAAGTTGTTTTTCTTACGATTCTGCATATATCAATAACTTGACTGTCCCATGAAGTTTGAGACATAGATCTTTCTCCGATTTTGTTCGTTTCAAGAGATGCGCCCATTGGCAACTCCCTACGTCGTTTCTTTATATGGAGGATTTTTAAAAAGTACATCCTAGAAATTTTCCCACTGAATCCCATTACCTTTGCATAAGACCATAAATTCTCTGCTCATGCCCCTGTCTTGTATCTAGTTCAGAATGCAGAATTCCTCTCGGAGTTTACAATCTCTTTAAGAAATGTAACATTTCAAACCAACACAATCTTGAGGGGAGGAAACACGAAAGATGCTTATGTCAAATCTGACTGGGTAAGCTTTCAAAATAATGTCAAAGCTTACTAAAACATAGGGAACATGCTAGGATCCACATGATGGTGAATTGAGTTAGATACCTCCAGAGATGATCTGCCCCTAGATTTGGAACAGAACATTGAAGTAACATGCGTGCTTATTCTTTTCTTTATTTATTTCTCTTTATCAGATTACAAAAGTATGCAATGGGAAACATTTCTATGAGAGAGAGAGAACACCTATTCAGGACCAGAACTTGCTTCAGATTACAATGTGAAGGAGGGAAGGGGAAATCTGCCACAATAATTCTCGATCACTGCATTTGTAGAGCATACTGCAAACTAGCCAATCGCACTTCAGCCTGCTTGGTTGTGTGAACTCAGTCTGACCATTTAGTTTATACTTCAGTGTCTTGTGAGAAAAAAATTGGGTTTATAGAGTAAAGTATGAGTAAGTGAGGGTGCCATGCAAATACTTCATGTATTGTCACTATTTTTCACACAACCCATTAGGCTGCTGCTTGCTAAACTAAGCTGATAAATTCATAAAAGCCTAGGCTTAAACACAGGACATTGTATTAAATACTGTAGGGACTAATTTATTCTACTCTGTAAGAAGTTGTCCTGGAAATGTTTTTGTTTGGTGGTTTTGGAACAGAGGGATATAAGCACCATAAACCAATCTATTTCTTTTATTCTTCATGCAAGAGGACCTTACAATATTTTTTTTTCATCCATCACAGTTTTGCAATAAATCTGGGCAAAAGCCCAGATGTTCTTCTACTACACTTCAATGCACGTTTTGATGCTCATGGAGATGTAAAGACCATTGTGTGCAATTCCAAGAACAAAGGACAATGGGGGAAAGAACTCAGGGAGACCAACTTCCCTTTCCAGGAGGGTACCACTGCTGAGGTGAGACTTGAAAGTGCACAGAGAGAGAAAGTGTGTGTGTGTGTGTGCATGCATGGGCACGTGTGCGCATGCATGCATGCATTGGATATGCTTGTGGTAAATTTAGAGCAGTGTTTTTCAAACTTGGCAACTTTATCCCCAGCATGCTGGCTGGGGAATTCTGGGAGTGGAAGTCCACCCATTGTAAAGTTGCCAAATTTGAAAAACATTGGCTTAGAACTAGATACATCTTGTGCAGGGACAGAGAATTCCCTAGTGTTCAATTAGGCAGATGGTTCTATAGCTGGAATCCCAACACCCTTGTTTTTTATCCAAACTGGTAGTGAATCTTCTCATTTTCACTTTTGGAAGGTCTTCTATTAGATCCATTAAGAACTGTAGGAGAATCTATCACAACATATGGAGGAGCTTTCCCCAACATTTACTCCAGATATGTTTGATAAAAATTCCCATTCCTCCCAGCAAGTGGATTATGAGCATTCTATTCCAACACACCTGAAGACTGATTTAGACATTATTCCTCTAATACTCCATTAATAATCCCTCTAATACTCCTCTAATAATCCCTCTAATTACTCCTCTAATAGTTGCAATTGCTGCTCTTGAAGGTTTTGGATGGGTAGCTTTTGGGAGCAGTTTATCTCCTTACCTATCCTCCTTGACAATAGGAAGCTCCTAGCTCTTTCTAGTGACAAGACTGAATGATGAAGAATTTGTTGGAGATGATGGTGGTCCATCATATCTGAAGGTCTCAGATTGTGGAAGTCTGTTGTAGATAATAAAGAGGAAATTGAGAACCTGTGGCCTTCCCAACATTCTTGATCACTGGCTGTGTTGGGTGAGATTGATGAGAACTGGATTCTATTGCATTTGGAAGACTATATATTCTCCAACCCTCCATAATTAAACCTCCAGAAACTCTATGAAATTACCAACCATGTAATCAGATCTTCCTTGACAATTCTTTCACCTACCCAGCTGCTTCCTAACTTATGGTTCATAATATTGGGCTAATTAAATAGATGCTGTCTCTTCTGCTGAACTCTTCTTTATATCTCACTCCACTGTGTTTTCAGGTGCTGTTCACACATGACAAAAAAGAAGTGATTATTACACTGCCTGGCAACCATCAGGTCAAGTTTCCCAATGAAACTGGTTTGGAAAACATTGAATTTGTCTGCATAGATGGAGACCTGAATTTCAGATCCCTCTCACTTGTTTAACCATCCTTTCCTTTGTCCTACTCACCTTTCTTGCTTAATAAGGCAACAAAATAAATGCAACTGAATTCTGGTCTTCTGGTGATGTGTCTTTTGAGTTACTGGTTGAGGAAAGCCAGCATAAAACATATGTATTTAAAGGATGGCTGAAATTTGAGGCCTGGTGTATCATGGAAGTGGGGCAGAGCAGATGCTGCCACAGAGGAAGTCTGACCTTGGGAAAAGACAAGGAGATAAGCCTATCTCAGTTTTGTCCAACTACAGTACTCTCACCAATACAGAGTTTAATTAAAGATATTTGGAGGACACCAGTTAGCAGAAATAGAGAGCCAGTTTGGGGTAGTAGTTAAGGCATCAGGCTAGAAATCAGGAGTCCATGAGTTCTAGTCCTGCCTTAGGCACAAAGCCAGCTGGGGCCTTGGGCCAGTCCTTTGCTTTCAGCCCTAGGAAGCAGGCAATGGTAAACCACTTCCAAAATCTCTCCAAGAAAGTTGCAGGGACTTGTTCAGGCAATCACCAGGAGTCAACATTGACTCGAAGGCACCAAAAAAAAAAAAAAGGTTAGCAGAAGCCTACTTCAACTATTGGAAGATATGCTTAACCAGCTGCTGAAAATTCACCCAAACTTCCAAGTGCCAACTTGTTACTTCTGCAGCCGTAAATACATCAGGAATATTCTAGAAGTGCAGAACATGTATCTATATGCCACCCTCCCTGGAGTAACTGTGCAAGAAAAAGGGAGCACTTAATTTCAGGCTACCTAATTGTACAATAATCTTCTTCATTTAAAACATATGAGCCACTTCTCAGAAAAAGTCCTCAAAGTGCCATGCAAGCATTTGAAAGTACAGTGGTACCTCGGTTCACGAACTTAATTCATTCCATGATTCTGGTTGCAAGCCGAATTGGTCGCCAACCGAATCAAATTTTCCCATAAGGTTCAATGTAAATAAGGTTAATCCGTTCTGAACCATATGTATTTTTTTTTTAACCACAAAAATATGAAACAGAGTACATACAGTACAGTATGAAGAGAGAAAACACTAACCTTGCTTGAGGCGAAACCAAAAAGCTTCACAGCAAGTGTCTGTCTGCGACCACGATCTCGCCTAGAGGAAGCCACGACCACATGTCAGAGCAGAGAAGATGGCCACGGGTCGTGTTCGTCACCCGATGCGGAGTTCGCGAACAGAAGCAAAATTTTGCGAACGCTGCTGTTCGCGAACCAAATTGTTCAAGAACAGAAGGTATTACTGTACATTCATGGCTACAAAAGTGTGGTAAAAAGGGCAAATCTAAAATCCTTACTAGAGAAATATTCAGGATTTTTATTAACACAAAATTTATCAAACTTGAATACATTTTAAGATCTTCGTGTCAGCAGGGAGATCTTATAAAAAGTGGAAGGGAGGGGATAAATCCAGGTTTTGGGGATTTCTGAAATATACTTGAGCCAGTTTGGTGTAGTGGTTAAGGCACTGGGCTAATGCCTGTGCCTCAGTGAGTTGCCAATTTTATAAAAGACCAATCTTAGAAAAGGTCAGTCTACTGTTGGTTGTGCTGTCATCCATCAGGTGATATCCTTGCCCACCTGGCTGTGGGCTCAGCTTCAAACTGGGCATGTGAGATAGATATGTCACAAGGAGCATCCTGGTCAACCATGTTCCTGATTATCCCAGTTTTATCTAAATTGACTTTAATGTCAAGAAGGTGGTGAGCCATCCGGTGGTGAGGAAGGGGTACTGCAGGCTGCATTGCAGGTTGCAGGCGGACTTCTGTCTGGCAAAATGGACTTGCTGAAGATGGAAGAGCTAAAAAGAATCTACCAATGTCCAATTCCTCTTTACATTTCTGTTTGCATATTGCCCTTTTAGGGATTATACTATGTAACTCTCAGGGACCTTTCCCAGGTAAGCACACAAAGCAGCATTAATTGGCACATTTACACAGTTTGCAGTTTTGAAATTTATGGCCATATCTTCCTGCTCTGCTTTATGTTCTGAATGCCTAGTTTGCTGTGGCAAGATTCAGTGCAATTTCTCCCTTTACACTGCTTTGCTAGCTTTACAAGCTCAGCTGTTTTTCTCTTATCAGAGGATTCACAACTCTCTGGGGAATCCATTCTGAAAGATTCAGACTCTGATATTGTTCTTTTCAACAGCAGATCTCCATCCTTGGTTTATTACAGCCTCTCCAAACCCTCGTAAACTTTTTATTTATAAGAACTTTATTAAGTTATGAAAAGCATAAAGGTAAAAAAACCCCCAAGAACTAATAATCAAAGAAAAAAGTAGAGAACAAGAGAGTTAGAGATAAAGAAAGAATACAAAAGTTGATGGAAAGTAAAGAAAAGGAAGGGAAAAAAATACAAAAAGAATACCTTCTGACTTCTTGTACAGCAGGTATAGATAAATCATATAACCTCTTATTCTAAAACTACATCTTTTGTAGTTTATACAAACTATTTTGTATAACCTATTAATTTAACTAATCATCAAATCCATATACCATGATTTCATTTTTTTCTGTCTCTTACAACAAGTCCAGAAGGGGCTTCCAACTGGTATTAAGGTTAGTCAATGTTTTTTCTCTAAGCAAAGCTGTCAGTTTTGCCATCTCAGCCAGCTCCATCAACTTCACCATCCATTCTCCCACTGTAGGTAATGTCGAGTCTTTCCACCTTTGAGCGTAAAAAAGTCTAGCTGCAGTTATCAGATATAAAAACAAAGGTCCATGAACTTTTCTCAATTATTTATCCATCAGTTCCAAAAGGAAAGTCTTTGCTTTTGACTGTATATTAACCTTCAAAATCTTATGAATTAATATGTGAATTTGGGTCCAAATTTTTTTGGCTTTATTACATGTCCACCAAAGATGGTAAAAAGTCCCTTCTTATTCACATTTCCAACATATGTTTGAAACCCCTTTGTACATTTTTGATAATCTTTCCGGTGACAAATACCATCTACAGCATACATCATTTTATAGAAATTCTCCTTCAAGTTATAACACAGTGTAAATTTTAGCCCTTTCATCCGCATATTTTCCCATTGTTCCATTTGTATGTTATATCCAAAAATTTTTAGCCCATTTTATCATACAGTCTTTAATTTGGTGAACTTTCCATTTGCTACTATGATCTGTTCTTTGTAGATTCAAGATCATCAAGAAATTATCAAGATCCACTTGGATTCAATGAATAGATTAAAGACACAGGAAAAATTATTCAGTGGAATAATTTAATTATTAATAATGGTTAATAACGGTTCATGTATTTACAAATTGATGGCAGGATAACATCTGATTTTAAGAATGAAGGAAGGACATCAAGAAAAAAGACAGACTTTGAAATGCTTATACAAAACCAATACCATCTGCTAGGGCATATATATACATTCCTACTTAGAAATGATACAAAGACAGAATAAATTAAAAAATGTATGATAAAATGGATGCAACTTTTTAAAGAAACAGTCACAACACAACACTGGGAAGAATTATGGACCAAATCCATAAAATTTACTCCAAGCTACAATCTAAAAAAAAAAAATTGGTACAAAATGCTTTACAAATGATACACAACTCCATCAATAATCTTCAAGACAGATAAATCCTAGAGTAATACATGTTGGAAATGCCATGAAACAGAAGGAACATTTTACCACATGTGGTAGACATGCAAAAAACTCTTGAAAGAACTAGAAAGCTATACATAGTACAATGTGGACAATTTTGGAAATTAAATTTGAAATGAAAACACAACTGTTTTTTACTAGGTATAATCCCAGAATATATCAACAAAATATATTTCCCATATTTACAATATACTACACAGCATGGCAAATATAAACACTTACAGTATGGCTTCTAAGAGGGCCTAAATGCTTATGAGTACTGCAAATTGGTAGAAGTACAAAAAGGGGGAAGTTAGAAACCAAATAGCTTTTTAAATTTTTTAAACCTTTTTTTTCTTGCTATTTTGTTTTTGTTTTTTTCTTTAAGATATGCACAAACAATAATAAGTAATACAGAGGAGATATTAGTATTAAGTATTAAGTATTAAGCTTAAGATGGAATTTTTATTAAATAACATATTTTAATGTATTAATGCCACATTTAGCTTTAGATGTGAAATTTAAACAACTTTATGTTTGTCAACATTAGCATTTTAGAAATCATAGTTAATATTGAGATAATCTTCTTTCGTTCTTTATCTTTAAAGGCTTAAGTTAGCTAAATATTAGAGTGTTAATAATCTCCAGTCAATACCGTATATATACTGCCATACCCAAATAACACAATGTATTACCTGTGTTTTATAATAATACAATAAAACAATATAAAGTAAAAAAAAAAAAAGGAATGATCAAGATCAACAAAGAAATGTTATTTAAAAAAACTGGAGCACTTGCTCCACGGTCAAGATGAATAGCTTAGATTGCCACTATCTTTGAAGCATCCTCTTCTCTTTCCCAGAATGCATTATTTCCCACCCTTTGGGTTTAGCTCTGCCTTCTTCTCCAGTCTTTTCCTATTGTAACCCTAAGCAAAGTACCGGAAGAACACTGATTAAATAAGTCACAGACCACCCCATTAAAAAAAAAAAGTAAAATGTTCATAATCTAGTTGTCTTGGGTGAAGAACATGACTTTAGTCCAACTGTCCACAAATGGTAACAGACATTAATTGTGTCAGAAGTACAAAGTAGATTTATTAAGAAATACATGAGGATAGAAAAACCTTGCTTTTACCTAAACTACAAGTGGAAGAGAGAGAGAGAGAGAAAGAGACAGGAAGTTCCTTCTAGTTGCAGACGTTACAGGGGAACATCCATATTAGTTTATGATGGCAAAAATAGGTAACACGTTTTTGTTTATTTTTTTTAATTAGAAATGTTTAATGTTGTCCCAAATGAAGACAAAGTAACATTTTATAAAAGACTTTTATAATGGCTAATGGCTTTTCCTATAAAAATTAGTGTCTAATGAGGGATGGGAATGGAGTGGTTTCCCCACAAGAAGACAGAACTTTTGAAAAAAATATTTAAATTACCCAAGGTAAATTACCAAAGTT